ATATATATATATATATATATATATATATATATATATATATATATATATATATATATATATAACTTGGAAAATATTTACAACTTTTATGTTATGTATTGGTATTTTGGGCTACATGTTACTATTACTTGTAAAAGGAAAAGTAAATTGTCCTTGATTAATTGTAAAGACCAGATATTGATAAACACATGAATTGTCACCTTTATAAGATGGATTTGATAAGGCTTCATATAAGATATTCACCAGGTCATCTATATGAATCCACGAAAACCTAACACATTCCCAAAACAATATCAGATTAAATTTATTTTTTTTGAGAAATAGCAACATAGTTTACTCTTTTTCCCAATATACTTCTAATAAACTCTCACGATTTTTTAAATCTCTAATAATACATAAATTGGTTGCTTAACGTGTGATAACTGATAAATAGATGAAAAAGTTTATACCTAAATTTTAGTCTTATATAAATTTTTTATAATAATAAGTGGTTTTATAATTAATTAATTGCAACAACTTAAAATTATAACTTACATTACATTACCTTATAAACATTGATATTTAAGTAACTTTTAAATCACTTAATCATAACAAGAGTAAGTACCATTGTTTCCCAGAGCCCAAAGGTCCTCCAGCAAACATCATGAAAATAGGAATCATTTTAGCTGCAAAGTCACATCAGTAACAACTCTTCAAAAATTAACAACTCATCAAAATGCAAGAAATAGTAATGCACTTTCATTTATTTATTTACTTTCATTTCTCCAAGTGGACACTCATTTTTTCCAATATCTTTAAAGCATCATCATCCAAATAACACTTTATATAAAAAAAATAATAATAATAAATAAAAAAATAAAGAAACATACCTAAAGCACCACCATCTTTTCCAAGCACCACCCCAATACGAATAAGTGCGAGTCTAACATCCTTATCAACTGCAAGAGCTGTTCCTTCCCATTCTCTACAAACCTAATCATATAAAAAATATATATATACAAAATTATTAAAAATCCATTACTTTTTTGTTAAAATATTTATTTGAATTAAAAGGTTTTTTTTATTAATTATTCACCTCAGCTAGATAATCATTTCCAGAAGGGCTTTGTTCATCAAACACTTGTGTTTCACTAGTACCTGACTCAAAATAAATAAAAAACATTGTCATATACTCACATCACATGATTAGGTAACATAATATAAATCAACTTGTAAAATTACAATTTTGTCCCATACCATAATAGCCAACTGCTGTTGCACTAACCAAAACTTTTGGTCTTGCATCACTTGTGGAGCTATTTATCGAGTCAACAACCTTTATAAAAAGTTAAACAAGCCCATCAAAACAACACAATAAACAAAGTGCTCATTCTTTTATACCATTTCCCTTCATTCTCAATTTTGTGGGTCCCACTCCCACCTTCATTTCTCCTTCTGTGGGACCCGTAAAATGAGAATGGCAAATGATCAAATCTAAATGTGAAAAAAAATTTCTTGGTTAATTGTGAAATCACTTTTACTGAACAAAAAAAAGGCTGTTTTTTTTTTGTGAAAAACGAGCAATTTTGATGAAAAACGCAAACCACAGGAACAATCCGAGTGCAAATAAAAAAAGTTAGGGACCAAATGTGCAATTTTGACCAAACCATAGGGACGATTTCAGTAATTTACTCTAATTTATATAAATAGGATAAAACGATGAAAACTAAAATTGGCAGGTCCCATATATAACTGGAGGAAAGGTGAGTATACAGTGGAGATATGGTGAGGTTTTTGGATTGATGAGCTGGCGCTCAGGTGGCATGAAAAGCTGGAAAAAAATTGTAATGAAAAAGCTTACCACTGTGGATGCTCTAAGCAAGTAATATATATATATATATATATATAT